CTCTAAGGTGTAAACACGATTAACAAATGCATGTCTTAAACAGAGTGTTTAGAAGAAGCACAATATCAGAGTATATTGCCTGTTTCGACTCGCTTCAAGTATTGTTTTGTACATGCCTAATTACTGTTAAGACATCTTAATGGAAATTATTTTGATTTATTACCCTATATAAGTGTGTTATACTTTCAACCCACCATTTCTATTCTCTTGGCAACGAAATATAATTCATGCCACAGGCAATTTTTGAGAAGGGTCTTTGAATTAAGTCCATGGGTGGCGAAAATAGCAAATGACGTTCCACTGTGCATGCATGCATGCATGCGTATATTTATATTGAAATAAGACAAACCATAAATCTTGTAATTTCTAAAGTAGCTTCTCAATCTTCTAACCCTTTACCAAAGTAAATATTATATGAAATTTATACTATTCCTCACAAAAAGATTGTATTTAACTTGTGAAAACAATGTTCATGACCAATATCGACTCGTATTACAAAACTTCCTTAATCTTCGCATAATGAATATTAATCCGTGAAAAGGCTTTGAAAAATGCTCTTAAAATCACTAGTTTCGTCAAATCCTGAAGGGGAAATAGTTGTAAACGCGTAGCTGGGTAATTAAAATTGTAATGCACTGAAGTTTAGATCGATAAGAGCACAATTGCCGTACACAAATCCATGAAAACAATTTTCAAGTTCTTTCTTTGTTGATTTGCCTGATATTTGAATGAATTTTCAAGTGTCAAGGGCTGGCTTCTCAAGAAACCACTCCTTACATATCTATTTGAGAAAGAATCATCTCATAAAGCCAAGTAGAGTAGAGATAAAATTTACAATGCTTGTATTGTAAAGGAGTTTAGATTTAGAAATCTGCGAGTCCTTATATGGTGCTCATGTTTGAATACCTTTCATATACGGGTATAAGGCCTATATTGCCCTCGGTCATTTGTGTGTGAAAATATTGTTGGCTGCGATACAAAGACCTGATGTGTAATTATATGTTTTGTTAGGTCTGTTGTCGGAAGTTAGTGGCATGATGTGTAGAGACTATCGTCATAATTCAGTTGTACTTTTGACGCGCTAATAATCAAACGGCTTGCGTAGTTATGAAATGAGGAAACCGTCTGAGTAGGTTGGCCAATCTTTTAGCGGAAGGCCTGCTCAAAACTACAAGATAACACCTCTCAAAACTCAAGCGTGAAAATTACTTAGTGAAATTCAAGGGCCGAAATCCCAAACAAAATACGAAAGGCTCTGCAAAACGCGCGCTAAAAATGCCGTATTCCATAATGACTTGCTAAGCAACGTTTGCGTATGCGTGGTATTTCCCTATTGGCAGCGTATTTCTTAGTTTGGAATGATTTGCGTGAAGCGCAGAGCTATTAAGGTATTGCGAACAGACGACTGTGGGGAGGAATCTCACGCGAATTGTCTAAGACGTGTCGATAGATAAGGAACATAACAGAGTGACATGTTATGAGAGCCAAACTCCGCCCTCCATTACTTAGGCAAACAATGAACAATTTTGTCAGCATGAGTGAAGAGTGAGCGATACCACGGTTATATACACTGCTGTGCGTCGCTATTTCCCATGCGTTAAATGTAGGCAGAGTTGTTCGGCCTTGTGACCCGATTTTTGTGTAAAGTAAGCCATTTTACGGGGTTTCCATCCGCCGCAAATGTCCGCGTTGTAGGCCAGCTCGCATCTGCATCTTGATATTCCAAGAGCGCGTACTCTGCTATCAGTGTTTAGGGCGACTATCTCGGTTATCGGAGAAGAGATAAATATGTTTTAATGGCCCTGCCCCTTTTTGAAGGGCTTCCTTTAGCCATAGATAAGAAAATTTAGTAATATGCAGTAGTTAAAAAAAATCCACAGCGCTTTGCATCTCAGCAGGAAACACAGGCAAGGGGACGATTTCGATACGATTCTGTATGTTGTTTTTTTTAAATCTAGTAATTCGTGCAATATGTTAATGCGTTTGGGCTGTACATGGCGATTTCGTCGATTTGTGAAGAATTCGTGACGCGTGGCTTACACAAGATGTAAGCGTAAGATAACACCTTGGGGTCGATCATCACACTCATTTATTTCTGTCATAAGCGTACATATATTTTATTCACCGTATGGATATGAATATTCACAAATGGAGCTTTAAATGAATTTGATGCTAAGAGATAGAGCGATGTGCGTATGTAAGGGAAGTCAAATACGAAAACAAATTTCGCTGGAGGGAGGCTTTTTTTTTACACGCAGCCTTTTCAACATTGCCATATGGACGGATTTACATTTAAACAAGCTTTAATGGGCAAATTAAATGTGTATTTAATACATTTTAAGCAAGCTTTTTCGTGTTATTTACCGTATTTAAGACGATAATTATGATGATATATTTCTTGCGCAGAAAATCTCTACTGGGTAATTTAAGAAGTGTTGCATGACTTGCATGTACATAATAAAGGATTATCTGTGCGAGCGATAGACGAAACATGGCTGTGGCTAATATCATAACAAAATTTCAGCCTAATCAGCCCCACGAGATTTTCGCGTGAGGTTTTCATGTTTTGAGAAGGTTTCCCGCCTAACACGTGTTTATATATGAAATGCAGTGTAAGACACCTTGCAGACATGATTGGTCTTGCCGACAAGATGCCGTAAAGTTCCGCGTAGTAGTCACAAAACACACACAATGACGAGAAGCCATTAATACAGTAAACAAACGAAAGCAAACTTTGTACGCATACGATGTTCTCTCTGTAAACACGGCAACACTACTGATTAAATATTTTACTTTCATCATAATAAAAAACAAAAACGAATTAAATAGACTATAAATCATTTTCTTATTACAAACGCGTGCAGTGTTACCTATGTGATCGGTAGGAAGTGATGCAACGCTGCTCTTTTTTTTAGAATTACGCGCTGAATGAAAACTTGACCAAAGCTTCATTATGAGCGGCCTATTAAAGTTATTAAGAAGACATAAATGTGTAAAGTAAGCAGCACTTCAGTTTGTCTCGGCCTATGTCGGTCTCTTAAGCACTAAACTACCGGGCATTGATAAGTGAGAAGTCTATGAGCTGCTTGCTACAAGTACGCATAAACAATGACAACTTTTCATGAGAGAGTTCGATAAATCCTCTTGGCTGCGCTCTTAGTTAATCTAGCGCGCAGGAAAATAACAATCGACGACTGCACTTCATTCATTGTGTGGGAAAACACAGCGATCACTAACGCCTGCAAGAATAGCACAAAATACTTCAAACATGAGACAACAAAACACTTAAAATATGCTTTATTCTCTCGGCAATAATATATATACACCTGCTCGGTATATATAGTTTATTTTCAATGTATACGCACCTTTTAACAATTTCGCAGCCACTACAACCTACAGGCATATGCGTTTCGTCAACAAAAACATTAAAAAGAAGCATTTAAGTCCCGTATATTAAGGTCTAATTTTCGAGGTAGAAAAGTCAACATTTAAGCCTGGTCAATTTATACCACTCGCCTAATCGCATTTATCTATCCTGTGAAAAATGTCAGATTATTATTCAAGATGGCGACGCCAAGACGGCATATTGAGCTAAACCCAAAACCCCAAAATTCAGCAAAATTTACAACGTAACTCAACACTTTATAATGATTTGTTCATATATTACAGTGTTAATTAGAAAATCCCATAAAGATTAATAATAATCTTACTCTTTTACGAAACCTGCAGCAAATTTTCAATGGGCACGCGCACCCCCTGTTGCACGCGTAAAAACAAACATCAAAAATGTGGCGAAACGAACGCGAACGGTAACACCTTTTATCACGTGTATGTTATCTTAGATAAATCATTGAGAATGTCAAAAAGGTGCCATAATGGCAAAATAATTGCCGGGGTTAGTTTTGCAAGAGTGCGAGCCTCAAAACGCTACAAAATCCAATGATCTTCGATTTGCGCAGCTGTTGCGTGTATGTCGATAAAAATTATACACGGGCGAGAATTTCGTTAGCTTAACAGGATTTGAATTCGGTTAGTTCAACATATAAGTAGTGTACATGTCAACATTGCTGCGAGAAAAGTATATCTCAGCACAAGACTGATCTCTGTGGCATGCAAGAAGCTTTTATTTTATTCTTCAATAATATTTATTAAATATGAATGCAGTTTAAATGTATATTACATCTCTCATTCTTTACAATTACAGCATAGCTTAATTTGCGAGCAAAAATACATGTTATATTGCATATCATATACTTTATTCTTTCATTTTAGTAACCACGAATGCGGTTAAATATATATATTATATATCTCCTTCTTTACATTCAATGCACGTTTCTGGCTTACAAAAAGCCTTTGAAATCCAGCCTGTCTACGTAATACACTCCAAGCGTGTTTCCTCTAGCTTGCGTCTTTATGCCCAACAACAGGATTGAATCGTACCTTTCGTTTTTTCTTTTTCCTTAAATAAAGGAACTCTGTGTGGGTTGAACTGAACATTCGTGAGTATTGATATTGGCCACGGCTTTTGGGGAAAAATTTAAATTTTAAATAAGTGCACATTTTACTCCGTTCTTTCCTCGTAAAGCGTACATCTGGTGCTATACACACATATGGTTTTAAGTTTTTCAAGTTTTTTCATGCTGCTTTAATTGTATTAATGAGCCGGCCTGTGGGTAGTTGGTTCTTATATTTGTAAACCTGGTCTGCTTACATCCGTGTTTAGGCTTTGATCACTGTTGATACTCGTTTGAAGAACAATTAAAAAATAAAGCTAGTGTCTTAATGGTCTTGTATTGAGAAGGTGCTGTACTTAACAGTCCTGAACACAAATGAGTACACTTCGCTGAAAATGAGTGCTGTCACAGCACACACATCCAATTCGATAATTTGTTGCCACTGTCAAAAGTGTCAGCACATTATCGCGTCAGCCAATCAGCGTCGCCGCTGACATGTCAAACTCCTACAAAAGATCCGTCTAATTGTCATTGATTGTCGCTCCCCTGGTGTCGAGGTAGGAAGTTAATGTAAACTCAAGCGCTCGTTTAGTCTGGCCGTAGCCCCGTGTCGTGTGTTATTACACGTTGTGTCCTCGCCTGTAGCGTTGTAAATCGGAAAGCGAGAGGAGGAGCAAGGCAAGTTCGCAAACATAAATAATCACAATGTTCAACCCTAATATGCCCATAACGCCATTTTCTGTGAAGAACCTATTGGGAATGGAGTATATGCCAGCGAGTTATCCTAGCCATGTTAATGCCTGTATACCAACGACCATACATACTTTCACAAAGAACGAAGATACAATAGTTAGCGGTGTTCACCCGCATAGTATTCCCGAGCACAATTTCGGCATGTACGGCGTCGACGCAGCGCAAGCATCGTTCTTGACAGCAAGTCACGATAGCGAAGGATCAGGGAAAAGTTTGGACCCCGACCGTGATCAGGGATCAGGTATGTAGAATTATACGTTTGTGCTACACTAGAATCTTTGTATATATATATATGTGTATATCGTATCGCTCGAGGGAACTCATTAAGTTCAAAATGGGGGAGGGCAATTCACACCGAGATTTGAAGAGCGGTCTCTAGAGGGTCTCTGAATTGAGCCAACATTCACTTGGAGTAAAAGTAGCTGCGACAATGTAGTACTATAAGACACTTAGCCTACCTCGTTGTGTCGAGATCTTTCGCTTTCAAAATTGGAGTGCATTTCGTGACTGCTGAAATCTCTCCCGAGTTATTTTCGTTATTTCCGCTGTGTTTCTGCTCACACGCTTTAGCTACTGATAAAGAGTTAATCTAACTCCCTGCTGGCATAATGCGTCGACTTGTGGATCATTTGTAAAATTCGCTACACATTGAACATTCGAACATTGAGTAGCGATGATCATTAAATTGATCTTTTGTTCCGAAGTTTGTACATCGACTTACACGCTTAGCCTTTGTAAACAATCTATACGGATTCCATATTCTTTATCTAGCCACGAAATCAACACTGACACATCACAACAGAAAACAAGCCATTTCCCGCATCGCTACCTTCGTATCTTAATTAGAAATTTCCTAGGATTCATACAGGGCTTCGCTGGAGCCTTTTAGATTGAATAAAAACCATAAACGATGGTTTCGGGTTTGAACTTTAGACACAGTCTGGTGTGTGGAATCGACTCCTTTATGAAAAAAGTGTAGGAATGTGTTAATACCTATCATTTTGTTAGTTACCCATGCGATAATGATACAAAGATATATGATCTACATAATAAGTCAAAGAGACACAAATTTTCCCACAAAAATTGAGAAACAACGACGATTTCGAAATATATCAATGCCAAAAAAAGTAATCTGAGAACGACATTGCAAAATGGTTGGCAAAATATTTGAAAATATACAGGTAGTGTTTTAAAACAAGCTTCAAATACGAACAACAAAGTTCTTCGCCCGAATGCAACACAAAGGCATATTGGATTCGAACCATTTTCAACCTGGATGCAATGCACGTAAGCTTACTAATTGCAAATTGAATTCTCGTATAAACCGTCCTTGCCGTATCTTTCCGTAAATTGGACTCGGAGATAATCATTTGTAAAACACATTAATGCTTCGTACAAACAGCAAATTTGTTTAAATGAAGTGGCCGGATTTGTTGTATAATGTGTTTTATCCGCGTCCAAACATAATCAAACTGCTTGTAACTAGAAAGTCGATAATTCGTGCGCTTCTCACAATACTTAAAATCAGTTTAAGGAAGATGCTTTAAGCTATACTTCAGAAAATTTCCTTAAGGCATTAAAAGCTTCGGTTTTGTTAGAATGAGAAGACGAGCTGGTTTGTTTTTCTGGTGACAGTGTAAGCAAACGACATTGAAGATATCCATGCACGTTTAATGTATATGTGTGTATTCTTCTTGCGTCATTGATACGTATTGTTGGGCTAAGGGTTTTAAGAATGACTGTATGTCGTTATTTCATACTCTAAAACTTGAGCTTAGTGCATTAAAGTATTTGGTTTTTTAAGTTCATTGTTTTTACTTACTTAAAAGCTAGCTCGAAAATACCAATAAAGCACTTAAACATGATGCGTGTTTAGACATACCTTTCTCTTTAACTCGTATTAAAGACAAGGCATTGCCTGCATTTTTTAATAACTTTATATCTCTATAATCCTTCACTTCAGAATAGCAGGAATTACAAATATAGTGGGCATAGCTGAAGCTTATAAATACGGTATAAGATTTCTTGCATTGATGAGTTTACTCTCTGAAAATATGACTTAGTCTTAGATTCTGTAGTCATTCCTGAATCTTCGAAATTGTGCTAATGTTTACATCCTCTTCCTTATAGTGACCCCAAGTTCCGAAACGAGCCAAGATTCACCGAATAAACCGCCAGTAAATCCAGTTAGCGCAGTAAACACCCAACTCACAGCGAACGATGTCGCTAACAAACCGAAGAGAATACGCAGAAAGCCGCGGGTCTTGTTTTCACAAGGCCAAGTATACGAACTTGAACGTCGTTTTAAACAACAAAGATATCTCTCGGCTCCGGAGCGCGAGCATTTAGCCCAAGCGCTGAAGCTCACGCCGAATCAAGTGAAGATCTGGTTCCAAAATAAAAGATACAAAGTGAAGAAGCAATCTTTGGAAAGCAAGAATCGCGCGCTTGATCCTTGGTTAGGATTCAACGAACCGCGCAGAGTTGCTGTTCCTGTACTAGTGCGAGATGGAGAATCATGTCTAGCCGCAAGACCTGACGCCGGCAGCTATCCTTTTAATGTACCTAACATGGGAAATATGAACACTATGAACATGAATATGAACATGAATATGAATTTTCCATACGGATACGGCTATCCCGCTTCACAGAACACCTCGGCTGGTCTGAGCTCAAGATGGTAAGAGGCACTGTGTCTCAGTTTCGAAATAGCGCTGTCCTTGCCTGTTCCAACATGCAGATCAAACCATCGAACACTCGATACGGGGACAAAGAAATTGTTTGGCTCGAACTTCATACTGTATATACAATTGAAATAATTTGTACATAATAGAGTGTTCATGAGACAGGAACACTGTTCAAAACAGTGATAACTCTTTTAGACGATCACAGTGAGCTTTGGCTGAGGACAATAAACTTGGACGATCGAATCTGTAGATAGGTATATACAAATATACATACATTTGGTAGTAAATATTTTAGAAGAGAAGTAACCGTATTTGACAGGAAACTGAATATATGAATTAAAATAAATGCAAAGCAACATCCTAAATAATATTGATTCGCTCTTATGCATGAAGGACTTTGAACACGCCTTCACTATCGAGCCATGAGTGCAACCCATGTATACGGCTTTCCCTCGTAATTCGCGCCGTCTGTGAAACTGAACTGAGCTGTGGAATATCCCATCATATCTAGGATTTTGGCCATGAAAACTGAACTAAGTTTTTTAAGCTAAGACTGTAACAGAACACTGTCTTTCAGCATTAAAAATTTGAAGTAAGATTTTTTCATTTCGAAACTTTGGTTCATATATAGCAAAATCCATTTAGACTGAAACTCTAAGTCTAAGAAACCAGTAATCTCAGTAACAAACCTATAGGATTTTTGCTTCTTCCATGTTTTTTTAGCTTGCTCGTTTAAATTAATCGCGAAAAGGACATGTATTCCATGGACCATGTTCATCCATTACACCAACTCATGGACATGGCTATTCTCAACGATTTGCTTCAAAATACTGGAAAAATCTTTAGTTCCGCAGAAAGCAGTCTTGACAAGCATAAATTTGTTATTCAAAACCAAAATACATTCATGCAGGTCATGCATGAGTCTTATTTATTTTTATACACGCATCAGTCAGAATTTTAGAATTTCATCTAGAAGACATGTTTAGTCGCATAAACAAGGCCATGCATGCAAATTGGTACAAAATTTGAGTGTTTATGTATTTTCTTAGTGATTAAAAGGTGGTTTGTGCACCCAACAGAAACATCTAGTTGATTTATAGGGTTTCCAAACACGTAATATCAGCAGTATTCATAGCGTATGTTTAATAGTCATTCATCTTGAAAATTCTGCACTTTATGGCGCTAACTATCGAGCGCTCGTTCAGTATTCATATACATGCACTTTGGAATTGAAGCGTTCAAGATACAAATTATCCATGTATTTTTATATAGTGACATTATAAGGAGATTCTTAAATAGCAATATACAATCCCTTTTAAAGAGGAATTCAAGCCTTTTAGAGAGCGTACAGAGTACCCATGCAACAAAAATGTTTTGCTCTCAAGGTAAAAAATAGCTTTCCATGGACATTAAGGACTATTATGAATAGGCTTAGTTACAATTAAAGAGATTCTTTCGCTAGGATTGCCAAGATGCCTTTTCAGGAGAAAGAATAATAAAGGAATTCTTTTATGCTTTCGGCCATGGAAATTTGACTATGTTGAAATTTCCATCAGTGGTTTATATTGTTGTAGTAAGATGAAGGAATCAAAGGTTATGAAAATGATTCGCCGGAAGAAGTATTCCTCCTGCAAACAGCTCTCTGCAACTCTTAGAGAGCAACCCATGAACACAATCAATAATCAAGGCTCGGTGCATGTATACAGCCTTGGGCTTTTATCGAAAGGTATACACACCGAGTAACTCGAAAACACAAAGTTAGGTGGATGAATGAGTTTTGCACTTGGAATCAATTGTATAATCAAGACTCCAGAATTAAGTTTTAAGCATCTAAAAAGGTTTAGCCTGAACATTCATTCATAATGCTGGGTTTTATTTGCAATTTTTTTTTTAATTCGAAAGCTTAACTTCTCGAACTCAGCATGACGCATGCACATTCTTAAGTTTCCACAATTTTATTTTTCCTATTCATACAAACATGCATGCATGTAGCACGTCCTTTTATCAAACCTGAACTAGTACTCGTATAAGTGAGTTTGCATTTGGGAGGGATATAAAAGGTAAAATTTTATAACACAACTTTGATGGTAATTTTGAGGATCCCTTGTAAATTATATAAGGCATAAGGACACCTATTCTATAAAGATTTCATCTCGGATTTCATCGTTACGCATAAATACAGTGTTAGATTATCTGCAAAGAGGGACGGAAGGAATCTATAGAACGCATTAAGTTTACACAATTTTGATCAATATTTTGGTTTTTTATTTGAGTGAGAAGCAAATGCATTTAATATACCTCAGGACATACACTGAGACGTATACCATTATATATCGAAGAAAGATTTCATCATCAATGAGAGACGGAAGAAATCTATTGAATATAAAACTTAAAAGTTTACACAATTTTGATCAATATTTTGGCTTTCTTACTTTTAGCCAGAAGCAAATTATAAACAGGAGACCAATTATATAGAAATTAAAGTATACATTTTTACTTTCCGAGAACGTAATCATGCTTCAAGTAAAGAATATTTAACCACAAAATATATACACTCGATGAAGTGTAGGGTTTCTCAAAGAATATAATTTCTTTAAATAATTTTAAGTCTGGCATCTCTTTGATATCTCAAGAAGTCGTCAAAATGTCAGTTCTGTTGCTGGGCGATTTCAAGTAGCGCAATATCTCATTATGGTGTTGGGGAGGATTGCAGGAAAGCGATCAATATTGCAACTTTTCGGTGCCAAATTTCACGCAAAGAATTTGGCAAAAAATAAATGCAAAACATCCATGTCTAACCGTCTCAGAGTCCAGTCGCCAGAAGCTAGCCACAAAGTCATGTATACAATAATTATAAATATTAGGGTTATATACCAGGGCAGAGTGTAAGGTATATAGGGGTTAATCATCTATATTTTGGGAATGGTTGAAAATTTTGTGTCAAAGCTGCATCCATACATCTTTAAGCAGTAACAACGCAAGTGTACTTCACAATCGTGCGTCAAGTTTCAAAACGGATTTTTGACAACTGCTTGTTTTGGTTTGTTTGGGAGGGAAAACGAGTTCTCATCAGTGTATAAGAATATTTAACTCGTACTCGTAAAACAAAGAGTTTTGTGAGAGTTGATGACTGCCTTGAAATGTCTTAATATGCGCCTTTGAGAATTTGAGGATGTTGAGAGAGAAAGATGCTCGCGCTTGCACAATACACGAGCAGCTGCTAGAAATGACTCGCCCAGGAGCCTTAATGATCATTATTGTTTAAACATTCTTTTGTCTATTAGACCCGCCAATTTTGTCGGCTTGATTGTCCTTGCGTTCATTTGCGGCCTCAATACAAACGAGAAACTACGTGTACTGTTTGTGTGTAAATAATTTTTCAAATTACAAAGACTATATCGCAACGCATACTTAATTCTTAAATATTCTATTTCAGAGCCATATTCCCCTGCATAATGATGGCTCTGTCTCTGCGTGAGTTACTGACGAGAACCGACTAGCTGTGCCATCACAAGAATAATACTGATAAGTTGGTAGAACATCTTCGCCTTCGGCTGACTGAATAAATTATAAATATAAGCACGTACAAATCATGTTTGAGGCATCTTTATATTGACAATAAAATTTACCCTGAAAATTTGATACCATGCATAGTCCATATATATATACCTAAGTCCGCGCATTGACATTGTCTTTCCATACCACCCCATGCAACCGCTATGAGAGCATGCATGCATGCAAAACTACGTACATCTGATAATATACCACTTCTCGTATATGGTTTTAAATTGCGATTTAACATGTTATCCTTAAAAGTAGAAAATCGCATTTAGTACAACAAAATCCCCCTCAATGTTATTTTCGACAACAAATATGCGATTCGAGCAATGCTACGAATGCTGCTTGGTAAAAATTTATATTTTGGTTATGTCTAGTCAATTCGTAAATATGGGAAATTTTATCCGGTTTTTATCAAGGTCTCTTTGCCATATTAGTTTGCGAGTTTTTGCATCTTGCGCTGCGGCAAAGCAAATTTAATATATACAATAACACGCATTTCAAATTTTTCTAATGAATAGACCGTTCATTAGGGGGATGCGCATTAATCCTAACGAAGTGTTTTTCTTTTTCTTCCCATTTCTTTCATGGTAGAACATATATATGAAATTAGTTTAAAAGAAAAAAATCTACATAACCTGAATAATGTTGTTATCTTTCCGCTAAAAATTCTAAATTAAGTATATAACATATACAATCTATAAGGGCTTCAGTGTTTTGGCCCTTAAGGTTTTAATAATCTTTTCAAGTTTCGTCGCTTCAAGAACCGTGGCCACTTCTCACAACACTAAATTACGTTTCCGAAACTAACTGTATATCAATATACAAAAACAAGAGCCCTACTCAAAAATAACTCAACGCTCGCGTTTTATCATCGCTTTTTCTATAATCCAGGAAAACGGAACATTTCAAGGACAAATGATAAATTTGATAAATTGTCGAAAATGAGCACGCCTAATTAATCTATTCGTAAATATTGGGATCGATATTTGAATTGTAAATTATGTTTTTAGACTATTATTATTTCTAATAACTTTTTGTCTCCATAGAATAAAATTAAAATTCTAAAATTTGTGCTTTTTCAAGCGACGAAAGTCAGATATTTCAAATTCAATCATAACTTCCTATAGCTATATCAACGTCAAAAAAGGTGTTAAATGTAATTTATTTGTAAATTTTATGATATTTAATTTTGTTTATTCGCATTATACACACATTTAATAACTTTGTTTGGACTGTTCCGTTTTTATCAGGTAGAAAAATTCGAATAGTCCCATGGGCAAATTCGGAGACATTCAGAGTGTATAACATGAAAAAGTGTTAAATTACATGCATTCAGTATTTCCCCCCTTGTATATAAATTGTTTGCTATATATTGAAGAACGTATTGCACATTGTCATTAATAAGGTGTATTTTAAATTTTTGCATAAACATTAACAAATGTTTTCGCCTCGACTTTTAATTTACGTTTCAATTTTCAGTAATTTACCATCATTACCTCGCCTTCAATTCAACCTACGCGCTCAAATCGAGCAAAACACAGGCGTTAATTTATCGCGTAATGTTAATCACTCCCCTATTAATACAAAGGGAAAATCGCTTACAGCTGATAAAATTACGAGGGAAAAATTTCGAGATCCTAATCTGTTTTAAGCTTTTTTATATCAACGAAATGTTGCGTAAAACCGGTAACACTGTCAAGGGCCTCGTCTGAATGCGCTTAATGTCGGGATGTGCAGACCTTGACTGCGTCTAATGACTCTAATTCTGGGATATGGATTGCGATTGTCTGTCTTCAGTTTTTCTCAGATGTAAATTGAGATAACAGG